AATCCACCAATATAAAAATCCGCAATGGTCAGCCATCTCATGTCCTGGGGACAAATTAGTTGCATTGTTTTGAAGAATATTCATCACAAAAAAATATTAAGGACATGAACGAGAAATGGATGAAAATGCTTTATGGTTATTTCTACATCAAAAACTTTCATGCCAGTTAAAATTCATATTTTCCCCTGAAAGTTACTGTAAAAATGTGTTTAACACATGCACAGAGAATGCCTTTGGAGCTTATTGTGTCTATCATGATATTTGTCCCAAGTCAAAATCCAATCACTACAGCGTAAATTTGCCTTTTATAACGGTAAAGTTAAAAAACGAAATAAGAACATGTACTTACATTTTATCTTCTGTAGCGGGATCATCATCAAGTAATGAGGCAAACATTTTTACTCTGAAGTCGAGGGTAAAATGTTCAAGGTTCAATAAAATAGTTTATAGTTAAAATCTACAAGTTTATGGTCAAATTTTAAAGTTTACTTTTTATTTACCCTATAAAGGCTGTGGGTCTAAAGCTATGTATAGCCCGGGGGGGCCTTAGAAAAAGGCCTTAGAGAATTGGTATAGGGTTGAAATGCATGTTCATGCCCAATTTTTCATGGCCAGCTCAAAGAAAAAAAAAATTAGACCGATAACTTTAATAGTTTGGGTCATACTGCTAGGGAGGGTGGAAAAAAAAGTCTAAAAAAGGGTAAAAAAAAATTTAAAAAATATTTCTTTTGTTTTAAACAAATATCAAAGTGTGACACATGTTTCTACATGCATTTTTCAAGGGATTTTCAAAAATATAGTTTTTTGATCTAAAGTCACAAGAAAGTAATGGGCTATTTAGATTTTTTTCACAGGCTGGACTTTTTTCCGCCCTATACCCTAACTTATAAATTAAAAAAATATATGTTTTCACAAAAAATCCTTTAAATTACAATTCATTAAAAGTCACAATGATAGTGTCAAAAAATAGAGTGCTATGACAAAAAAAAACTACAGCTCCCCCCCCCAGCCTGTTTAGGGTTAATCTAAAATCCACTATTTTTTGTAAAACAATCGAACGTTTAAAATTGAAAGTTTATATCTGTTTAAGTTAGAGTTCAACTTTGTATTGTAAGCAGGGACTAAAATCGTTAAATTTCAAAACCCTTCAGTTAAAAGAGGGGATGCCCGATCAACCACGGTATAGCGCAAGATAACGTTGGTTTCCAATCGGCTTAAAGGGAGTGTTCGCGAAAAATGATAGGGGATATAGACTTAATGCGATAAAAAAGCACTTTTTATCGCTACTAATTAAAGTTCTATCTGTTGCGTCTATATAAGGAGAAAATTGTTAAAAACGACTCAGACCGAAGAACGCAGCGTCCATTCAAATTCGGAAAGATGCAATATTCAACTCAGATCGTAAACAAATCAATTTAATTCCAAACAAATCATTCAGATATTACAAACAGTAGTCATCGATTATTTTTCGACGCATTCTTACATAGTTAATATTTCATAATATTTTTGATTTTTTTTTTAAAAATAATTTTCGCTGGCGCTGGATTTTCGAACATTCCTAGAAAATATGAAAATGTCGTCTTCATTATCAAAAATCCTAGAAACAGGAATAAATATTTTCAAAAGTAACACTCAGATCATGAAAGATACAAAATATTATGAAATATCAACTATATACGAATGCTTCCAAAAATAATCGATGACTATTGTTTGTAATATCTGAATAATTTGTTTGGAATTAAATTGATTTGTTTACGATCCGAGTTGAATGTTGCATCTTTCTGAATTTGTATGGACACTACGTTCTTCGGTGTGAGTCGTTTTTAACAATTTTCTCCTTATAGACCCAACAGGTAGAAATAAGATTAGTAGCGATCAAAAGCGCTTTTTTATCGCATTAAGCCTATACCCCCTTTCATTTTTCGCAACAATCCCTTTAACAAGTTATTAATTCTGATAATTTTTCCATTCTGAAACAAGAAATGTACAATTTTTTTTAAAATGTTTAATAATTCTTACAAAAGAATTCATTTTTGAAATATTTTCAAAACTTTTACTTATACTTTTATTTTTAACTCTAAAATTAAACATAGAAACTATACCTGCAGTCTCATCCAAGACAAATTAGCATGATTATTAATTTAAAAAGATTATTTACTAAAAGATCAGTAATAATAGTGCAGGAAATAAAAAATAGTTCTCCCTTCATTAGAATTATATAATATGATATGTATAATACAAATGTATAAAGTTAATACAGGGTGTCCCACGAAACATGACAGTTGGTAAATAGTTATAAAATTCATCTCTTCTTTCATATACTTTATTAGATATTAAAAGCCTTTTGCAGTTTATTTCGTTAAACAATTCTTTTTCGAAACATATTTTACTTAGAAACCAATTTTACTGTAATATGACTTTATTGTCTTTGGTATCAAACAACTTAAACAATTGTGGAAGAAGATATTCTACACTCTTCACCAACTGCAATCATGTTTCATGGGACACACTGTAGGTAAGATAACAGGGGGGGAAACAATTAATTTGGGGGGGGGGTTATATTAATATAATATATTATTTACCCCCCCCCCCTTATCTTAAATCCTAAAGCCGCCCTTGCTTGTAAACTAATGAAACTAAGATCGATAAAAAATCGAATACAGGTACAATTTTGCAGAAACTAAGAAAAGCAGAAAAGAGAACTTATAAAGTCTTTACAGTCCCAGTTTGTGCTGCATAACTCTGTCACTATTTTTTTATAGAATAGACTGAACCAGCTGTTCAATAACCAGCTGGTATAGTTCAGAATCAACAGATTGGGATTTGGAGGATTTACAGGGAATATATTAGAAAGCAGTTTTCTGAAGACGACATTAAATATAAGGTTTAATTTTCATATCTTTTAAATAATATGGATAGTAGGGGCAAAAACAGGTGCGTAGATATGGGGGCCCCCCTGTATACCCCCTGAACAATCCTATATACGCGGACGCCCCCTGAAACAAATCAAATTATTCATAGATTTTCATATATTTATTTGTACCAGGCACATATGTTCTTTATTCATAAATAAATATAAAAGAATGAGATTAAAGTGATAAAAGGCAGAGATATTGATATTGGTCTTGCTGAACTGGATAAACTTGAAGGAAGACGACCAGACTTCAAAGCAGCTTTACTTTCCATATCTCCCATATAATCTAAACAGTTCAAATATACAGTAAATCCCAGATATATATGAATGCATAGCAAGAGACCTGGGCAGCCAATTCTTTCCATTCTTTAAAATATATAAGTTTATTTTTCAGCTTTAATGTTACTTGCAAAATACTTACAATATCTGAAAAATTGCAAATTATTATTTTCTACAAGTTTGCTTTTTTACAATATGCAAAATTTGTTCACAGTAAGAAAGAAGATGTATATATATGAGCTATGCCTGAAAACGGAAGAAAAAATCGGAATCTGCTGTTCATTAATTCCGACGGATTTTTTTCTTCCGTTAATAGGTTATTCCATCTGTCAGAGTTAAAACATTGAAAAAGTATAATTGTAGAGAATAAAGTTTTGCAATATTTCAGATATCCTAAATATTTATGAGTCACCTAGAGACCGAAAAATACTTAAAATAAATATTTAGAAGAACAAAAAGAACAGACTAGCCCAGGTCTATCGATGGCATCCATTTTAAACCCAATTGCAGATTCACAATTCACATACACGTACAATTCAGGGTGTCCTAAAAAAATAGAGAGTGAGATTGTCTAAGATCTTCAAAAGCTGTTCAATAATAACATAAACTTGCAGGACTTCTGAGCTAGGTCTAAATGTATCTTTAAAAATTTCAAATTTTTCAAAACTTTTAAGTTCTTGTAATAATTAGAATTTAAACAAAATTCTTCTGTTCTTCATTCTTGTAAATTTGAATTAACATAAAAAGTACCATAAAAGTCGTCAGATACTTCCAATCCGGCAGGAAGTATTAACTGCTCTTTTATCCTGCTACTTCTTGGTTGCTCTTGGAAGTATTTAGAACTTGACTCCGGCACTTTTTCATTTATAATTTCACCGGTTTTCATTGATGGAAGTAAAATCTTTGATCTGATGCTAGATGTCTCTGATTTCTGCTCTGGGAATCCCTCCAGCCAATCAGGAGACTCGGTTGTAACTTTCTCAGTCTTGCTTTCTTCAGTTGTGCTTTCTTCTAGAACAGCTGATGTGGTTACATGCACGCTTCTGTCCAAGCTGTCTGTTTCCCTGATATTCTCAGTAATGATTGTATCTGCAATACTATCAGGAGTTGTGGTTTCTTTCTTTTGTTTTATTTTGTACGGAATATAGTGCTCAACGGAGAAGAGGGGTGAGCAGAAATTTGAGTTGTAATGGCTTCGAGGCAAGATTAAACAGAGCTTATAGGACCTAGATTGATAAATTATACTTTAGACATTTTAGGTTCTGATCTTGTGTTATTCAATAAAATTAATTGATTATAGATTCTATACCAGAATTATCAACATAATAAAAAGGTTTTTCTCAAATTGTACTCTATACAGGCTAAAAAATCAATTGAAAATAAAAAATGAAAAATGATTTACTTGAAAGGCTGCACTCTGTAGGCTGTTAAATCAAGTCGTAAAATCATCTCACCGCCTAAAATTAAACATTTTTGAATTTATAAACATGAATGATGTGTTTAGTTTAATCTTTATTTAGTTAAAGATGTGAAATAATGTTTGTAAAGTTTGATATTGAACACATTGGTTTTGTATTATTTTCACAATATTAATACACTTTTCACAAATTACAATCGTGATTGCAATATGTTCAAGGGATTGCTGAAACGTTATTTTTGACATACTAAATAAATTTTCCACTAAACAAATCTATTATTTATATTTTATATTATATTCATTTGCTGCTCAGATTGATGTTTAAGAGAATCATTGTGACTGGAACATGATATAATTCTTGAAACAGCTCGGGCATCTTAAAATTCTGTTCGATTCCTTTTTAATTTGAATTAAAAGTAAAGAAGCTAAATTAAAAGTTATTATAACGAAGTATTTATTTTAATAAATTATCAATTATTCTCATTTCTTTATAATACATACACCTGTATTCCTTTTCATCCCTAAAGGACATTATCCTTTTAGAGTTTAAATTTAATACGTCTATTTATGTTTTTATTGAAGCAATGTATACCCATAACTGTCCTATTAATCTTCTTTTTAGATAAGTTTAAGTATAAGAGATAGAGGGGAGGGTGTCTTACTTAGTAGTTATTTATCAAATAAATATTCAAGAAGGGATGTTTGTTAGGGGAACAGGCCTGTAGTTGTTAGAGAGAGCAAAGAAACTGAATGTTCTGCCACAAAGTCAAGAAGTTTGAGCATAATCTTCAACTGTTTTACAGAAAAAAATAACATCGTGAAGAGGTTAAGTTTGTAAAGAGAAGTATGAAAAGTAAACTGTAGTTTAATCATAGAAAACTATAGTTGTACTGTACATAATTGTACTGTAATTGTACATACAGAACCAATGTCGTGATTGAGGGGTATGTTCAATGAAACGATAGAGATAAGTAAGCGCTATTTTGCTGACTAAAAAACATTAATGCAAACCTGATCTCGTGCACTCAGGTTTATGTTGACCCGGTATGAGACTCTTGAGCCGACCGGTCAATCCCACCTCCAGCAGCTGAGCATCTAAGAATATATATACTATATATATATTTATATAAATTGTAAGATTAATTTGTATGTGTACTAAACTCCAAATATCGGGGTTTTATGTGAATTTTTCTTAAGGGAGTGTTCGCGAAAAATAAAATGGAGTATAGACTGAATCAGAGAATTAATAATCCCTTTAAGAATCTTAATTCTGTTTTTAACGAAACTAAATTATAAATGAATAAATATAAATAAACAATTTTTGTAAATTATTTTTAAAGGAACTGAGTTCTTGCAACAATTTCTAATTTTTTACCCTTTATGTTAGCTACCCTATGTAGTAGAACTTTTTTAAAATAAGAATTGTGTTAAATCTAACCTTGTTGGAAAGATCAAAGGTTTACGTTCTTAAACTGCAAAGATATTGGGAGTAGAAAATTAGAGTTTGTGGCTAGGATTTAGTTCCAATCAATATTTTAAATTTATTTATTAATTTTGATTTATTAATTTAACCTAGCAGTTGACAGGAGATATTGGTGGAGGACTTTGAGTCATTAATCTATTAATCAACCATTCTTATACAAAATTTGCATTTAAATTGATAATCTCCACTCTCTACTCAAACCCCATTGTCAATGGAATTAATAAAATTAAACATCTTCTATATTGTCAGAGAGATATCGTCGTTTTCCAGCTTGAAAAGTATTTAATTCTGACAATTTTCTCCATATTTTTTCTGAAGTATATAAAAAGTCACTTTATAGAGAAACCACAATTGACAATAGTTAGTTTTCAGAGAGAAGATGATTGATATCCCATGCATTCATCAGCTAAAGCTCATATTAGGGTACTGTTGTAAATCGGACATTTAACTCTATAAATGAAGAGTGTACAGTCCTTTAAAAGTTAGGAATCCCTCGAATAAGATTTACTAATCACGCACCTCTGCCCCTTTAGAAAAAGTAAAATTCCTAGAAAAATGTTTCGTCAGCAATCCCTTTAAAATGAAGATATTCCTTTTTCCTGTATTGTGTGTGAAGGCCGATGATTAGCTGTGCAGAGTGAAACTTGATACAACCTAAACAATATTTTCTTTAATTTTATAAACTTCATTATCTTGTCGAAATACATATTTATTTTAAATAGTGTTAGCGCCCTTTAACTGGTTACAATTTCAGCTGTCATTTTTATTTGTATACAGTGTGTTCTGCTGATTTTTTTTTTTTTAAATTCGCGCATTTTCGAATTATTTTGTTGCGTTTATTGGATTGCTGACACCCAAGCCAAATTAATGTATAGATGGATAAATTGTGTAGTGGATTACTTTTTACGCCATACATCAAACTTGAGTTTAATCGTAGATTGAGATACATTTTCAAATGATACTATTTCACTTTTTCCTTTTTTATTTATTTTTTGAAAAGATTTTAAATTTAGAAAATAAAAAATTGTCATCTAACTATCAAATCAATTTAATTCGCAAAACCGCCAAAGCATAGAAGAAAAAAGAATTTTTGAAAAAAGGTTTAATGTCGGAAAAGAGAATGGAGTTGAAAATAACTGGAAAACAGGAGAAAATGTTGACATTTTCAAACGAAAATTAAAAATACTTTCCAACTATTATTTATGACCAAATATTGAACCTTTATCTAAAAAAGCTCGAACAAACACATTTTTTTTGCTCAACCCTAGCTGAACTTGATGCTCATTTCAGATATATTATTTACACTTTAGAGTAGGCGAAACATAACATAACAATCTAGGATAATAAACAAACTAAATCAAATCTACATTTGACGGTTACAAATGGGGTTGAAATTGAAGTCCCTCTAACGTATTGATTGTTTACTCATCATAGGTTAAGAATTTTTTACTAGTGTGTTGTATGCTAAAGAAGGAGGACGGGGG